CTCGCGTCTGGAAGTGAGAGATTTGCACCAGCCAGGACCTGCATGGTAGTTCTCGTGCTATCAAATTTTTCGAGAAATCACCCCATAACTTGATTTGGAGAACAGAAGACATGGAGAACGCTGATTTTGATCTGCTGTAGGCAGCCCAAAAACCCTGAATTTTCAACCTCAACATCGAGACTTCGAACTTCAACACCCTGATCTCCACAAATTATGCCAAGTTTATGGCACTCCCGCACTTCCAAACCTTAGACTCTCAAACCATCAGCACTTAGCTCCCAAACCTGAGCCCTCAAACCTTAACCTTTACACTCTAAGCCCTAAACCCGTAAACCCACAAAACCCCCCTAAACCCTAAAACCCCTGAACCGCTTGAACCCCTAAACCCCTAAACCCCAGACCCTAAAACAAAAGACCCTCAGCTTGCCCAGCCGCAAGCTCCCATCGCGCGCCAAGGCCTCACGCCAGAGCAGCGCGCTCTGCTTTTCCTCGACTGAGCAGGAGGAGGGCTACGTAGGCTTTAGGATTTTGTGTGCATTTTGTAGAGTTAGGCTTTGGGAATTCAGGTTGCTTCACAGAGGAAGCGACCACAGAGAGGGTGGTTTTCCAGGCCTTGGTAGCTGCAGAGTCTGCCAGCGTCTCATTCTCGCAGCGGTTTCAGTTTCGTGTTTGGGGCGCTATGCCCCACATGCCAAGCCCGAAGCGGAAAGAAGCCTAAGCTTTACTACCCCTCATATTCGAAACTGGAAGGGCTTGAACACAGTGAGCTAAAACCACGCAGCGACTGCTCGCAGACGGTGCTGTACAGGAAGCTTGAAGCATGGGTGGTGCAGAAACCATGCGGTAGTTCTGTGAATTCTGGTGTTTTTTTTCCAGGTTAGCATATTGTACAGCACCACTATAAAGAGGACCCCAAAAGGGACCCTAATTTCGAGGGCCAGGGCTTCCGTGCAAAACCCTAAGCGTTAAGTTCCTAAACTCTGGCAGCCAGACTACTTGAACCTTGTAATAAACCTTCCAGGGAGGATGGAACACATTATGTTACCTGTACTAAAGCTCTAAGGGGTCTATGAAACATAATATCGTAATTCTGGCTCTGGGGGCTCACTATAGGGGCCTTAATAGTTACCTATACTGTTTAGGGGGTTCCTTATCATGATTATAGGATAATATGCCACACAACCCTATTTTAATTATTGAAGCCCCTCCATTAAGTTAGGGTTTTTCGCATCTTGAGACAAAACTCCAAGGGTAAAAGGAGGGACCCTTAATAAGGACCCCTAGGTATATAGCCTTAATATAGCTGTTATATACCCATTATATACCCCGTTATAGGGTGGGGGTCCCCATTAAGGGTCCCTCCTTTTCCCCTTTGAAAGACGCCCTAAACCCTGAACCCTAAACCCTAAACCCTAAACCCTCCTTTTCCCCTTTGAAAGACGGCCTCCTACCAAGAGTCAGGTCCCGGAAGATCGATGCTATACAGCGATCGATAGGGGTTTAGGGTTTATATAGGGGTTTAGGGTTTATGTAGGGGTTTTAGGGTTTATATAGGGGTTTAGGGTTTATATAGGGGTTTAGGGCTTTATATAGGGGTTTAGGGTTTATTTAGGGGTTTAGGGTTTATTTAGGGGTTTAGGGTTTATTTAGGGGTTTAGGGTTTATATAGGGGTTTAGGGTTTAGGGTTTGGGGTTTAGGGGGTTAGGTGTGTAGGGTTGCGCACTTTATTTCTGATGATTTCTTGCTAGTAAGTACAGGAAAGTATAAGTATAAGCAAATCCCTGTTCTAATGAGTAGGGCTCTTATAACGGTTTTCCGGGGATGATAGGGACCTCTCTACGTAGATTCTGCTGTGCTGGGGTTCTGCTCTACTCCATGGAGCTCTTCTGAAAGTAGCAGCGTCAAGGCAGCTAAGCAGGGCCTTGGAGGGGGAAGGGGGTGTAATAATCGAGGCCTTCATAATTACCTATACTATACTGCTTTGGGGGTTCCTTATTGTGATTATATTGTATATTATTGTCCTTAACACCATACCCTAAACCCTAAACCCTAAACCCTAAACCCTAAACCCTAAACCCTAAACCCTAAACCCTAAACCCTAAACCCTAAACCCTAAACCCTAAACCCTAAACCCTACACCCTAAAACCTAAACCCTAAACCCTAAACCCTAAACCAGGCCCCTATACTAAGGTTATGGGCGTAGCAGGAGATCTCTCAGACCGGGAGCTCTGGCTAGCTCTCGAAGGATAAAGGAGGGACCCTTAATGAGGACTCCTAGGTATATGACCTTAATATGGTAGTTTCCGAAAATAGGGGACCCTAATATAGTACCCTAAATAGTAGGATCCTTACAATAAGGACCCCAAAATAAGGTACCCCTAATTTCCGGAAACTCCCATATAGCTACTTGTACTACATACCCATTATAAAAAACGTTATGGGGTAGGTATCCCCATTTGGGGTCCCTCCCTTTGCCCTGGATCTGGTTTGAGAGTCCGTACCGAGGGCGCCCAGTTTTGAGATTACATGCCCGAAACTCGAATTCCGGAGAGAGGATTTTGGTTTAGGTTTAGGGTTCAGGGTTTAAGGTTTAAGATAGAGAGCATTCAGCTTCGCATCTCATCCAAGCCTCACAACCACGCGAACCACACGAGCGCTCTGACCGGCCCAGGCGCCTCTAAGCCCATAAACACATCAGATAAGACGCAAACCTTTGCGTCCCCGATCGTAGAGGCCTCAAGAGACCAGCACAATCCCCGCACACCTCAGCCGCCCCGCACCATTCACGCCAAAACCTAAACCCTAAACCCTGTAGCCGTAAGCCCCAAAACGCGAAACCCGGAACTCCACAGCTTCAGGTCCCGCCAAGAGAGGCCATGAATGAACGGTTAACCTGAAGCTTTTTTTTTGGTTTAGGGTTTAGGGTTTCGGTCTCAGCCCACAACCCTAAGCACAGCAAGCCACAATGGTGGTCAGAAGTTGCCCAAGTAGCACCATCACGCTCGCATCGATGGTGCTAAGAAGTACAGCTAGATCCAAAACCGAGTAAGATCACACTACAGCCTAGGTAGGTCACTGGGATAATACACTTCCCCAGGGTTTAACCAAAAGGGTCGTACTCAACCATATGTTTCAAAGACTTCGAGGGCCAGCCTGGCAACGCACCAAGTCCACTACCACCCTAAACATACCGGGCTTAGCAGCTTAGCTTCCTTATTTCGCCACAATGCTTCGACGACCGCGGCGCTGAACCCTCGTCCGGCCCATAATTCTTGAGGGTTGTGAGATCTTCTGTTCACAGTCTCGCCGGCTAATGTAGGAACATGAATTAAGAAACCTTCGGCTTTTGTCAAGGTTCCTTATATGAGCCCTACTTTTTTTGGTTTATAGGCCCAGGGTTTCTTAATCAGGTTCCTACATTCTTACAAGGTTATGCCATGCTTCTACGTTTCATCATGTCTTGGACTATGTCAGGCGACTGAGGGGGTAGATTTGCTGGGTTTGTCGACGTGTTTACACCTTTGTATGGGAAGTCGGTGGGTTCAATAACATTTGGGAGTTTCCGGAAAATAGGGGACCCTAATATAGTACCCTTTTTCGTAGGATCCTCATTATAAGGATACCTAGATAAGGTACCCTCAAGTTTCGGAAACTCCCATTTGGGTACTCTGGGTTCGCGGCCTACACTGCAGGCTTTAGGGTTTGTGGTGTCTTGAGAAAGTTTCGAAGGCCGAATACGGGGGCCTTAATAATTACCAATACTATTTTGGGGGTTCCGTATCATAACTATAGTATAAGTGACCCCAAAACCCTATTCTAGTTATTACGGCACCTAAGTTATTCCAGAACGTTTCGAAAGCCTAGCTCAAGCCTAACCCCAAAACCCTAAACCCAAACGGCTCCACTCCGCTTCGGCCTTCTTTGGGCCTTCCCACGGCCTCCGAAGTTTCAGTCTTCAGGCTGATGAAGGAGTTTCCGAAGTCAGGGGACCCTAATACTTATTGGCTGTAAACGAAGCTTTTCAAAGTTTGGGGTTCTCATAAAGTAGTCGATTCTGAAAGTTTCAACCTTTACTCCCTGGGGGTTTGGGCCAGTGAGAATAGAGTAACCTAAATAGTAGGATCCTTATTCTAAGGACCAACAAGGTACCCCGCACTCCCATGAGATTTTGGGCTTTAGCATTGAAACCCTAGGCCGCAGACCCAAACTGGACACCTTAATCCCAAGGCTTCAAGCCCTACACCCGGAACCCTACACCTTAAACCCTAGGCTTTACACCCTACACCCTGAAAAGGAACCCTAACCCTAAACCCTAAGCTTTACACCCCAAACCTTGAAAAAACATCACCCCAAGCTTTCGAGCTCAGCTCCCCCGGTGAGGCCGTCTGCGGCCCCCGGCGCCGGCGATGTGGATGCCAACGGTCGATGCGTCAGGGAGACCGACCTTCGTGCCCCTTTGGTAGCATTGCCTTGGGATCCGAAAACCTCTATGGGGGTTTCCGAAAATTAGAGTTTGGGGTCCTTACAATAAGGATCCTACTATATATCGTTTTAAGGGTTATACCCTTTAATTAATTAAGGGATCACAACCTACTATTCTGCAAGGTTTGGGGATGCAGGTGAGGGGCCTAAAGCTTTTATGTCTTTTCCGCTTATTAGCTTTCCGGGTCAGGAGTGGCTTCTTTGTTTTGTTCGTTCCTCTTGGTTGGCATGGTGTTTTTAGGAGGTAGTGTTTCAGTGGCTTTTGCGGAATTATGTGTCAGACCTGCCTCCCAAACCCCCCACACAATCAAAGCACGATGGTCTTGCGAAGCCCTGAACCCCGAATCCTGAACCCAAAACCCTAAATCCTAAACCGTAAGCCCTAAATCCTGGACCCTAAACCCTAAACCCTACATCCTGAACTCTAAACCTACATCCTGAACCCTAAACCCTAAACCCTCAAGCTTGTTGTACATGTGCGAACAGCCGAGGCACCCCGACATGATGGGCGGCCCCATGGGTGGCATGTCGTTTGGCCTTAATTCCGCGCTACAATAGGGGCCTTAATTATTACCTATACTATTCCTTAGGGTTCCTTAAAGGGGTCCTTAAAAGGGCTGCTATACGGGATCTATAAGCGTACCATAATATAGGGGCCGAAATAATTACCAATACCATTTTTTGGGGAGTCCTTATTATCGGTATACAATAATGGGCCCCAAAACCCTATTCTAATCAGTAAGGCCCATTTTGTACATGAGTGGAGATGAGCCGTTCCCACATTTCGGGGGATTTTTCAGCAGGTCGCGCTGTCGGGCTTTTGGTTTTTGGGCTCAGTTTGCTTGGAGGCTCATGGGACTTAGTAACTACAGTTACAAGTACCTTAATTGGGGTTATAACTAGTTATAAGTATAGTTACCTTAGTTATAACCGTAGTTACTAAGTCCCATGAACCTCTAAGTAGCCTGTCGGGTGCAGTGTGCTGTTTGAAGGCTCCAGGATGCGCAGGTGGGGCATGTTCTTGCCTTTGGTTAGTAGGGAATGGAGGAATGGAGGAATATTATAACTACTATTACTACCATTCTTCCATCCCCTATACTAACCAAAGGTAAGTGTTGGGCTTCGGAGCTGCATGGTTGGAGGTTCAGATTTCATGACTTCACGTTTCATCTTAGTCTTGGGTGTCTGCTCTGACTAAAAGGGGATTTCATTTATGCGGCAGGGCGGTGTTGGGATGTGCAATAGGGCCAAAAGGGTTTGGCAATGTGCGAACTGATCTCATTTTAAACGTATAAACTCGAGACCCTAAGCGCTAAACTTGAACCGAGACCCCTCAAGCCAGGCTCACAGGTAGCAAGCCCTGCAATCTCAGACTAGACACCCAGAATCACGGCCCTCTGCATCCCGAAGCCCTGCGCACAAAGGACCGGCATGGGCATGCCGGGCATGCCATGCATGCCAGGCATGCCCTGCATGCCAGGAATGCCAGGCATGCCTGGCATGCCAGGCATGCAAGGAATGCCGGGAATGCCGGGAATGGGATTCCCGTGCATGGCGATGAATGCTGCAGGTCCGGGAGGATGTGCAGGCGCGGAGCTTGGCGGTGAAGGGTTGGGTAAATGCAATGGGTTCGGTTTCTGCACAAACCAAGATGCCGATGTCCGTCAATTCAAGGTCCGGTAGTTGCGATCCCACCAACTGCTACTGCTGCTGCTACTACTCCTACTCCTACTCCTACTCCCACTCCCACTCCCACTCCCACTCCCACTCCTACTCCTACTCCTACTCCTACTCCTACTCCTACTCCTACTCCGACTCCGACTCCTATTCCTACTCCTCCTACTCCTACTCCTACTCCTACTCCTCCTACTCCTCCTACTCCTCCTACTCCTCCTACTCCTCCTACTCCTCCTACTCCTCCTACTCCTCCTACTCCTCCTACCCCTCCTACTCCTCCTACTCCTCCTACTCCTCCTACTCCTCCTACTCCTCCTACTCCTCCTACTCCTCCCACTTCTCCTACTCCTCCTACTCCTACTCCTACTCCTACTCCTACTCCTACTACTCCTACCACTCCTACCACTCCTACTCCTACTCCTACTCCTACTACTCCTACTCCTACGCCTACTACTCCTACTCCTACTCCTACTACTCCTATTACTCCTACTACTCCTACTACTCCTACTACTACTACTACTACTCCTACTACTCCTACTACTCCTACTACTCCTACTACTCCTACTACTACCACTACTACTACTACTACTACTACTACTACTACTACTACTACTACTACTACTACTACTACTACTACTACTACTACTACTGCTACTAGTAAAACTTATGATTGCTACTACTACCACTACTACGACGACGACGGCGACGGCGACGATGCCGGGGACGACGACGAAGGAGACAACGACCGACTACCACTACTGCTACTGTTACTACCATTACTACCATGATTGCCATTAAAACGTTTACGAACTACTACCAGCATTGCTATTCTCACGAGCTGAGCAAAAGTCCTACAGGAACCGAATCGTTAGTTGGCATGAGGTTTCGAGCGTAGCATTGTGGGTTCAGCGCCCGCAAGACCAAACGGAACTACTACTAGGTAGGAAATTGACATAGATAATATTTCTGCATCGGTATGAAGTCCAAGATGCCGTTTTTCCATCAATGGCACGCCTGTTGCCAAAATCATTGAATCGCCCGTGCGATCCTCGAACCCTAAGCCCAAAGCGGTGAATGTTCAGTGTTTAGGGGCTTGAAGGTTCAGATGCTTGTGGATGTTTCAGTCTTTGACACACTTCTGAATTTGGATCCCTGACTCGGTAACCCCACCTTATCTTGAAAGGCATCATAGCGGACATGTTGATGTTAAGGCCCTTTAAGGCCTTAAAGGAAAACAGATTTTTAATGGTATAGCCCACCCATATTTCGGTAAACAGTTTTCGAAGGAAATCCCCTAAATCTCGTTTAAACGCCGTCAGAGCCCTAGAACAACTTCCAAAACCCAAACTCTAAAACCCCCAAACCCCCAAACTCCCAAACCCCAAACTCCAACCCCTAACTGGGAAGTCCTTAAACCCCCCAAACCCGAGACCCTAAACCCCTCAACATATTCTTCCGAGAAGGCACTCCGAACGGCACCACGCCTCTCTCCGGCGACAAGGTGCGTAGCTTTCGTAAAGGGTTTTGGAGGTAAATACGGGTTGTATTACTATGATTATGATTATGATTATGATTATGTTGATGATTATTACTATGGCTGCTACAATGATTATTAGCATTAGTATTATTCTTTCTTATGGGTTTAGTGCTTAGGGTTGTTGCAGGGATTTGCAGGAGCTACGCCCGAGGTTCTCTGATCCTCAGCCTGGGTTCTTGTGAAGGACTTCAAATTAAGTTACCATGATGCGGACAACTGATTATTCACGGGAGATCCCTAGACCCTCGACCCTGGGCCGGAAACCCCTAAACCCTTCAAACCTGCCTCAACCCCTAAGCCCTAAACCTCTACACTCTACACCCAAAACCCCAAGCCCTAAATCCCTAAACCCTAAACCTTTATACCCTAAACCCTTACACCCAAAACCCCAAAAAGCCGTAAGCCCCAAAACTTACCGTTGGTTAGTAGGGAATGGAGGAATGGGGTGCAATTATAACTACTATTACTACCATTCTTCCATTCCCTACTAACCAGCGGTAAGAAAAGCCCTAAACCAAGAGCCCAATAGCCCAACCCTAAACCCTAAACCCTAAATCCTAAACCTCTTTTTTCCCTAAACCCCAAAGCCCTAAGCCCTAAACCAACAGCCCAATAGCCCTCGATCTTTTGCCGCAGCTCTGCTCAGGGGTCCGGCGCCGTACCCAAGCCGAAAGGAGGCGATGGGGGTTTTGGGTTTAGGGCTTTAGGGGTTCAGGGGTTTAGGGGTTTAGGGCTTTAGGGGTTCAGGGTTCAGGGGTTCAGGGGTTCAGGGGTTTAGGGGTTTAGGGGTTTAGGGGTTGAGGGGAGGACTTGGGGTTTAGGGGTGTAGAGGTTTAGGGCTTTGGGGTTGAAGGGTTTAGGGTTTAGGGGGTTTAGTGAGAGTTTGGGGTCGCTTAAGGGTTCAGGGTTTGAAGGAACCCGATCCCTAAACCCTTTAGGGCCAGTTTTATGCTGGGCCCTTTTTGAACCTAGGTGTATGAGAGTTTGGGCCATTTCAATCCTGGTTTACGAGGCTTTGGGGCCATGTTAAGCTTCGCCGTATGAAAGGTCTGTCGGGATTGTAGCAGAAATTATCCCAAACCTTCAAATCGTAAAAATCTGTTTAGAACCCTCATGGATCCCTATAGAAGTTACAACCGTAAACCCTAAACCTCGAATCCTAAAAGTTTCTTTCGAACCCTCATCAGAAACGTAAAGCTGCACCCCAAACCCTATAGATCCCTTAGAAGCTTCATCCTTAAACCCCAAAGGGAACCTCAGCGTATCCCTTCCCAGACCCCCGGGAGGATCTAAAAAGTAGATCCCTCACTGGGGTTTCCTACAACGTACCCTTAGTAGTATAGGGCCCCAAAATAGGGGATCTACTTTCTAGACCCTAAACCCTAAACCCTGCATCCTGAACCCTAAATCCTAAATCCTAAACCCTAAACCTTAAATCCTAAATCCTAAACCCTAAACCCTGCATCCTAAACCCTAAACCCTAAATCCTAAACCCTACTTTCTAGATCCTCCCGGGGGTCTGGGTTAAGCGGAGCCCTGAGCCTCGCGAGGGGAGAAAGCAGACCGTGACGTGCGACGGCTCGGCAGCAGCTCGGCAGCTTCTGGGGAATATGGATCGGTTTAGGGTTTAGGGTTTAGAGTTTAGGGTTTAGGGTTTAGAGTTTAGGGCTTAGAGTTTAGGGGTTTAGGGGTTTAGGGTTTAGAGTTTACGGTTTTCGGGTTTGGAGTTTAGGGGTTTAGGGGTTTAGGGGTCTCGGGCTTTAAGGAGCACATAGTCGGAAGGTGTGGAAACCTATCCCTGAAGGGATGTTGCTTTCACAGATATCGACGTTTGGGTGCTTTATGGGGTTGCTTTGGGCCCTATGAGCCCGACAACCTCTTGAACCTTTAAGTGACTTACTGAAGCGACAGTTTAGGCTTTAGGGTTTTAGGGTTTAGGGTTTTAGGGTGTAGGGTTTAGGGGTTTAAGGTTTAGGGGTTTAATGTAGGATTGTGGAATCGTCTTTCACCTGAATCAGGTCACTTCGGCATCGACCAGCTGACGGTGGAGAGGTGGGGGCCTAGAAGCGCAGGGCCGGCAGCCCTAAACCCGACGCCCTAAACCTCAAAGCCTACCTATTAAGCCGGAATAACCTACTTTTTTAGGGTTCCTTATTATGATTTCCTTATATACGTCCTTAAAAAGGTAGGTTATTCCGGCTTAAGGTAAGCCCTGTCAACCCTGGGCCCAGACCCTTAAGCCCTAAACACTAAACCCCTAAAAACGAAGGGTTCAGTGGTTGGGGGTTCGGGGTTTAGGGCTCGGGGTTTAGGGTAGCTGCGGTGATAATTAAGGTAACTATACTTATAGCTAGTTATAAGGTAACTATACTTATAACTAGCTATAACCCCCAATTAAGGTACATATAACTGTAGTTACTAAGTCCCATGAACCTCCAAGTGGGGGTTTCCGAAAATAAGGGACCCTAATGTAGTACCCTAAATAATGGGATCCTTATTATAAGGACCCCCAAATAATGTACCCCTATTTTCGGAACCTCCAAGTAGGCTCTTGGCATCAAGGTGTTTCAGCGCGAAGTTTCAGGCCTAGAGCTTCGGGTTGCAGGCATTGGTCCAGCTCTGTCAGGCCAGCGGGGCCCGATTTGACTTTAGGGCCTCAAATTGTTTCCCGGTTTGAGGCCGGAAACTATTATAAGTATAGTCTATTGGGCACCAAAACCCTATTCTACATATTAAGGCCCCTGCTTTAGGTTTTGGGGCTTAGGGTAAGAGGAGCAGTGGTGGTTGTCACAACGCTGCTCGCGGCAGCAGTCGTGCATTTTGATACATGATACCAGCAGCATGATGGTACCAGCGAGAGGTTGCTCGTGATAGCGGTGCTAGGACCCAGAGTAGGCCCTTATTCCCTGCTTAGGGTTGAGGTTCTCTTGTACCACCCTTTTTAATCCAAAAAGGACACCCTTTTTGTTCCTAGGTTACTCTTGGGTCTAGTAATACTGCCATCCCGGCCCAAAACCTATGGAGATCGGGGTGCGCCGAGCCTCAAGTCAAGGACGCCCGCCCCAGCCGAGATCTGCAAGAAGCCAAAGCAAAGCTTTGATTAACAAGACGAGCCCAAAACCCCCAAAACTATATAGGTAGGCCTTTTTTTGGGCTTAATTGGACACTTTTTACGAATATTGTTGGGCCAACCTAGAAAACCCTTTTAACCCTCAACCCTACTACGCCCAAAACTCTGTAATCCCGAAGCCCAAAACCTTTTACACCCTTAACGCTAAGCCCAAAATCCCCGACTCCTTCCAAGAGAGCCTCCCCGAAAAGCCGGCAGGCTAGATGAGATCATGGAGAAGAGGCAAGAAACCAAGGAACGGCCGGTATCCTACAGGGTTCAGAGATCCGGAATGATCCAAAAAGTAGATCCGTACGGGTGACTCCTGTCAAGAAACCTTTAGTGCGGTTGATGATTCCTGCATTACCCATAATAGGGAATATACCATAATTCGCATAGTGCAGGATCAACAGTAGTATACGGTACCAGCTTGGGGGTTTCTGGATCCTCGCGTCGGTCTGGAAACCTGCCAGGCGAGGAATACATAGTAGATAAACGTTTCGAAACCCCCCTAGACCTTAAATCCTCAACCCTAAACCTTAATCCCTGAACCGTAGATCCTAAAACCTAAACTCTAATCCCTAAAGCCGTGATAAGATGCGTTGCTGCTTCTTTTGGTAACTTACTTTAGGGACCCAAAAAGCACATAAGCATAAGCATTTTATGGGGATATCCCTACCTTATTGGGCTTCATTATAAGGGAGGTTTATATGGGATATCCCTATCCTAATTTTTGCTTATGTGCTTTTTTTGGGGCCCTGTTACTTTGAGTTGCAAGAACCCAGGGGCCCGGTCGTTGAAGCGTTCCGGGGGCGTAATTTTACGTTTGGAACCGTTGATGATATAAATCCTAGGGTTCCTTTAAAGGGATCTATAAGGGTACCTTTAAGGGGCTCCAGGAAGGGATCTATAGGGGGTTTAGGGTTTAGCGTTTGATGATATAAATCCTGCATTACCCATAATAAGGAATATATCGGAATTATGGTCTATTCCTTATTATGGGTCATGCAGGCTTTCTATCATCAACCGAAGGACTACCCAGAGAGCCCAATACCATATGGCTTAAATCATAATATGAAGCCCTATATAATTTAAGCCATACTCCTTAATTAAGGGGTATTGGGCTCTCTGGGTACTCAAGACTGTAGGTACGGACTTGAAGCCCTAAGCCTCTACAACCCTAAGCCCCCAGACCCCGAAGTCCGAATCTTACGCCCTAAACCCACGAACCCGAAACCCCAGGCGCCAGTCCCCCAAATTACCCAAGCCCGAAGCCCTTAAACCCTTAAACCCTTAAACCCTAAACCCTTAAACCCTTAAACCCTCAAACCCTTAAACCCTCAAACCCTTAAACCCTTAAAGCCCTAAATCCTTAAAGCCCTCAAACCCTTAAAGCCCTAAACCCTTAAACCCTAAACCCTTAAACCCTTAAGCCCCTAAACCATAAAACCCCAAAGCCCCAGAGGAACAACCTCTGGTCTGAGCCCAGCATTGCACGAGAAGGGTTACGACAAGCGTAAATCCTAACCCCACTCTAAGGGTTTAGGGTTTAGGGTTTAGGGTTTAGGGGTTTAGGGTTTAGGGTTTAGGGGTTTAGGGTTTAGGGTTTAGGGTTTAGGGGTTTAGGGTTTAGGGTTTAGGGGTTTAGGGTTTAGGGTTTAGGGTTTAGGGGTTTAGGGTTTAGGGTTTAACCTAGGGGAGGGTTGTGGGTTTAGGGGTTTAGGGCTTAGGGTTAGACACGACCAGCATGTTTCAATTGTGTTGGTAGGCTCGAAACTCGAAGCTCAATAGCCTTACAAACCAAGCGTTGGACCTTCACGATTTTTGGGGGCCAGACAAAAACGTACAGGTTTTCTTTCGTTTGTTCCTTTTGGGGCGCTTCATGTCGCCAGACCCTAGATCCCGCACAAGCAGCCGTAACTCTAAACTCTAAACCCTAAACCCTAAACCCTCTAAACTCTGAACCCCAAGCCCGGGGCCCGAAGTCCCTCCTTTCAACTAAGCCCTCTTCGCCCAGGGACCTCGCAAAGCTCTACGAGGTGCTGGATGCGGCCAGAAATCCTGGTGGCTTGCTACTTGGCCTTACTCAAGGAGGGGTTTCGGGTTTGGGGTTTAGGGTTTAGAGTTTAAACCGTAAATCCCAAACCGCAAGCCTCTCTTAGGTATAGTGAAGGAAAGGGGGTGGGGTGTTAAATGAGCATCAGAAAGGAGATATCGTTGCGATGCTGTTGCTGGAAGATCCAACCCGAAAGGTGTTCAACGGGGTAGTCTCTGATGCAACAAGAAGCACGGAGGTCCATTACTGCGTGCAATCCAACCTGATGGGGATGTTTGACGCAGGACTTTTGGCTAGACCCCACATGGCGCTATCCTCCTCCTTGCCTCGAGGATGACAGCTCCCTCACTATCAACCATACAGCACGGTGGGATAGTGGGATGCATTCAGCCGATTCGAGGAACTTTTCAATGACTTGACAACACGTGGCAGTTGGGTTTGAGTTCGAGCAGGTCCAGGATGCTAGGGTTTAGGCATCGTGTTCTACGCTTTCAATCAGGCTTCGAGTAAGGTGTAGCGGCCGGGGTCAATGATGATTGAAAGTTGCAAGTCCCCGTCTCTTCTTGCCGTTGGCTTTTGGCCCGCGCAAGTTTGCTCAGGACCCTCGGACCGAATCCCCAAGGCTGCTCAAAGCAAACCTAAGGCCTAAAGTGTGGGCTCTGCATTAACCCTAAACCCTAAACCCTAAACCCTAGGTTTTGCGTTCCTAAGGCTCATGGCTCTTGGGGCTCTTGGATTAGGTTTTGGGCTTTGGCCTTGGGTCTTCGGGTCGGGGTTTTCAGCTTGAAGGCTTCCTTCGTCGATCTTCGGTTTAGGGTTTAGGGTTTAGGGTTTAGGATTTAGGGTTTAGGGTTTAGGGTCGCTGTGGTTGGGTTTCCTGGTCCCTAAGCCCCGGAGCAGGCTCCACTGCAGACCCCACACCCGAACTTCCACATCCGGAAGCCTTAAACCCCAAAGCTGTACCCCCCCAAAAAAAGGCAGTTCATTTTCAGCAGCTTATGCTTCAAACCTCTCCCGAACAGCAAAGCCCTACAGCCTAAAACCGACAGCTCACAAAGGCTGATGGTCAAGATGGATGAAATGGAACTGGGCGAATTCGCCCCTACGATGCACCAATCGTAAAGTGATGGTAAGCAATAGTAAATGGATAGCACATATCTATCTGTCTATCTATCTATCTATCTAGCTGTATGGATACATACATACATTCATACATACACACACACACTTATCTCTCTCTCTCTCTATATATATATACACACATACATAATATGATATACTACCATAGCGAACCGGGATAGCAAACACATCCCCAGTTTCTAGCATCCCACCACAAGAATTAGGCTCTGGTAGGTCCTAGCAGCCCTTCAGTGTGACTTTGACCTGGACGGGTTTAAGGTAAAAGCCAGAAAGTTGGAATATGATTATCCTAACCCTTCCATGGTAAATTATAGGGTATCCTACCATGAAACCATATTCCAACTTTCTGGAGTTCCCTGTACCTGGGTCTCTCTGGCTTGCATGGTTTGGAGTTGACCTTGAGTGTAGCGGATTACTTGTCAGTACCCAGCTAGCGGCGGAACCCTAAACCCTAGACCCTAAATCCCTAAATCCCAAACCCTAGACCCTTAATCCCTAAACTTAAGCCCTTAACCTAAACCCTAAATCCCCCAAAACCTTAAATGGATGCAGAGATTCCCTGATCGCTGAATTGACTTCGGATTATGCAGGAAGCTATAATAGGGCTGATGTTGAGGGACCCTGAATTAAGGCTTTCTGGGTTTAGGGCTTTGGGTGTAGGGTTTTTATAGTAAACTGTACTTTATTATCTTATCTTGAGTGATCTTACATTATCTTGTTTGTCTGAGGGTTTTTTTCGGTTTTGGGGGGCAGGGGTAAGCCGGCTCTTCCCTAGACCTTCAAGCACTCGAGGCTACGAACTTCAAGCGGGATGAGAAGATCGACAGGCGGGGTCGGTTTAGGGGGTTGTAGGGTTTAGGTTTTGGGGTTTAGGGCTTTAGGGTTTTAGGGCTGTAGGGTTTAGGATGTTAGAGTCTTTTAAGGTTTAGGGTTTTTGAGGATTTAGGGTTTAGAATTTCGAATTTGAAGTTTAGGGTTTAGGGTTCAGGGTTTCGGGGGTTTGCCAGCTCCTGTCCTAGAAAAGTGATTTTAGAGCGTGTCAAGGGCATTCGGGAAAGAAGTCTCACTCATACTACTGACAAGACTCATAATAATACCTAGCAGGGTTTGCCCGGTTCAGGGTCGGGGGGTGGGGGCTTTAAGTTCTCAGTCTCTCTGGTTCAGGATTGCATCCCTGATTCCCCAGGAACAAAACCCCCCCAGTGCCAAACCCTAACCCGTAAGCCTTAAAGCAATGCTGAAAAGCTCAAACCCCATACCAGCATCACAATGTCTCACTACTTCCTAAACCCTAAACCCCAAAACCCTAAACCTCCCTAACCCTGGCCAGTCCGAGGGCGAGAGGACTCAAGAATTGGGAGCCCAACCGGAAAACGAAACCTCACATGAAAACATCCGGAAGCCTATACCCATTACGCTACTCCTCAAGCCACAAGCACTTAATTCCTTACAAACCCGGCGACACCCTACAAACGATCATGGAAGAAGCCTGTAAAACCCAGATGAACAAGCTTTAAAGCAGCTCAACACCTCGTCCCAAGACCCGCTCATCGTCACGGATGCCGCCAAACCCTAAATCGAAAGCCATAAACCCTGAATCCCCAAAAGAGTGGAGCGGAGTGACCTGATGGTGAGCTCTATCAACACTGAGGGTGACATCCGAGTGAGGCTCAGGTTTTGTTTTGTGCTAGTCAGATTTGAGATCTGAAGTGCGCGTCTCTAGAGAGGCGAGACTTGCTGCGAGAGCGACAGTCCATTGCACTTTTGAACAACCCTAATCCCAAATAGTAAACTCCAAACTTGAAACCCTAAACCTTAAACCCAAACCCTAGACCCTTAACCGACGTCTGCAGGTTCGTCGAAGAGCATTCCCTCAGCGATGCTGCGAGGCCCCCCCCCGGGGGAAGCCTTGGATTTGCCGTAGCTTTCGGGGACGGTTGGGGTTTTGAGTTTCCTTTAGTGGTTTTGCTTTGGTTCTCATTACCCTTTTGTTTTATTTTTTTGTTTCATGTATTTCTACAGTGTTTTTGGGTGTTTTGAGAGGGTTTTGGGATGCCTCGTTTTTCAAAGGGGTTTTAGGGTTTTGGGCATTGGGAGTGTGAGGATGCTAAGAGGATCTCTGAGTAGCATCTAGTCCAGAAGGGCCCCTTGCTTTAGGGTTTAGGGTTTAGGGTTCATAGAACGCACCCATAACCCTACTCCGTAGGGGAATGGGGGAGTGGGTTATGGGGACTAGTATAACCCTAAACCCTAAGCCCTAGACCCATGTAAGGGGCTATCATACGGGTGAAATTAAGAAGGCCCCTATGTCGGGAGTTTCAGGGTTTAGGGCTCTGGAGGTTTCAGCATTTTTAGGGCTTCAGGTTTCTTGGGCCGCAGACTGTTTGGGGGTTTCGGGTTTCAGTTGTCTTTTGTGGTTTAGAGGTTTAGGCTTTGGGGCTGTAGGCCCAGGACTCCAATATCCCTTAATTAAGGAATATACCTTAAATTATAGTAGGATCCCTTATATGATTTAGGGAATATTCCTTAATTAAGGGATATTGGAGTCTCTGCGGGGATTTAGCCCGGGTGGGCTATGTTTTGCCCTGAACCCCAAACCTTCAAAGCAGGGACCCGAGACCTCTCGCCGCCTTGAACCCAGAGCCTCCAAAACCACTTAATTAAGGAATATACCTTAAATCATATTAGGGATCCTACTATAGTTTAAGGTATATTCCTTAATTCAGGGGTTTTGGAGGCTCTGGGAAGAAGACCACATCCCAAGTGAAGCCCGCTAATATAGGGGCCTTAATGGTTAGTTTAAGATTAATTGTTTAAAGTGTAGACTGCACTCTGTCTGTTTCACTTCTTCGATGCTAAGATACATGATTCTATGTCTTGATTCCACTTCATTAGCTAGGCTTCTGTGCTCAGACTTTCTCGTCTGCACGTAGGAAAAGTAATGGTTAGTTTAGGGTTCAGGGTTTTGGGCCTCAGAATGGCCAGAAGCGTAAGCCTTTGACCGGGGGCTCAATCTGAAGGGGTATTGTGTCGAATATCCCCGTGCATGTTTGCTCTTATGTCAATTTCGGTTCTTGGCACCCTGACTGATCATCTTGTTGCCCTCAAGCGCCAATCAGCATAGCTTCGCACAGTCGAGGATTTGGTGGGCCAAGGGTTGATGGCATTTTCGCGTCTCGGTTCCGGGTGGAAGGTTCAGCGTGATTGCTTGACAATTGATCCCCAAGCCTTAAACCATCTAAGCCCTAAACCATAAGAACAAGCAGCGCATTCCTTTTGCGAGTTGCACAAAGTGGTTGTAGCTCTTTGTCCGCGCGATACGGATTTTGCCCTGTTGGTTTGACTGTGGAGCCAGCTCCACACCAAGAACTGCAGGAAGTTATCACAGCCTGTTCCGAAACAGGCGCTTCTGCGCCAGGGTAGGTGGATCGATGGGTTGAGCCTTCTTGCGGCTGCCAAACGCTACGGCATCTGTATCCTGGTCGTTCCCTGTTCTCGTGTCCGAAAGGATCGCCCTGTGAGATTCGGAAATTGGCGTGCAGGCAAGGCTGCTGTAGTTCTCCTGCTCAGGGATGGGCATTACCCAGGACTCCAATACCCTAAATTAAGGAATATACCTTAAATTATAGTAGGATCCCTGAGGTCGCCGAAGTCAATCATTCCATGATTCGGGCTGGAGGGATGAAGGAGACCCCAAAAAAGAGACGTCTTAGCGACAGCGAGGAGGCGAGTGGTGAGGGTTGGCGCCCCCCTGCTACCCCTAGTTCGTGTAGTAGTTGGACGTCAATGTCAATATGGAACTCTTATCAGCTGCACCAGCGCCTGCCACGTTTTGGGGCCCCTTATGCTATACTCATAATAAGGAACCCCCCCAAAATACTATTGGTAATCATTTAGGCCACTGTCTTATATGCATTTCCTGTGCGAGCCCTTGATACCCATCTACGAGGCCTGGAGCCTCTACTTCGCCCTCACTGTTGAGAAACTGACGAAACATGGTTTAGGGTTTAGGGTTCAGGGTTTCAGGGTTTAGGGTTTAGGGTGTTGGGTTTAGGGTTTACGGTTTAGGGCATCTTCCATATCTAACGACCAAAAAGGGACGTCCCTGATATGGATCCCCGACATAGGTGGCCCTGATATGCCTTGTGCAATTATAGTAATACACCCCAAAACTGTTCTAATTATTACAGGCCCCGGCATGACATCCTAAACCCTGAACCCTAAACCCTACACCCTAAACCCTAAAGCCTAAACCCTGAACTTCGGCCTGCTGTCTCTGGCCTGTTTAGAGCCGCGACTCATAATGCCCCGAAGCCCCAACTCCAATCCTCTGTGGAGCCCTAAACCCTGAACCCTACACACTTTGTGGAGCCCTAAACCTAAACCCTACACCTTAACCTGTTACAGCCTTAAGCCCTGATCACCAAACCCTAATCTTGAGCCCTGATCCCCCAAAACTCGAGCTCTTCGCAGGTGTCGGCTGGTCGAGCTGCGCGTTCGCAGAAAAGCGGAGCAGGACGAGGACCGAAGCGACGCATGAGCTGCGGCATTTCTCATGCAGGAAATGACCACTCAACCAGAAGGTTTCAGTCCTAAGTCTTGAACAAAACCCCTAGCCCTAGCCCCAACTCCTGAGCCCCAAATCAGATAGTTACCACGCTGCCCTAAACCTTATCTCCTGAAAGCCCTAAAGCCGAAACCGTGAACTCTAACTCTAAACCCAAAATGCTCCGAAGGATTTGCAGAAGCTGGCGCAGCATCTCTGCATCTGTGCCGACCGGTCCTTCACGGCCATCTCCCTGGTGAAAAAGGCCGGGGGGGGGTTGACGAAGGGTGGCTTGTCCCTTTTCGTTAAGAGCTCCAGATGGGTTTTAGGGTCCAGAGCTTTGGGGTTCAGGGTTGTGGAAGAAAAAGGGCGGGGGTTAAGAGTTGAGGGTTTAGGCTTGTGCGAGAAGGGAGATCTGAGGGTTTAATATAGAGATTCGACCGCTTGCTGCTAACATGCCCATACAATCCCTATATAGCCGAAGTTGCAAGACCCCTAAACTTAGAGTCGAACTATAAAACCTGCAAACCCTTGTTGTAGAACGGTATGAGGATACCCTGAATTTTAAATCCCAAAGCACCCACAACCCCCCCCCCCCCAAAGCCAAAGGCCCGGAACCCGAAGCTCCGACTCCCCTAAACCCTAAAACCCTAAAACCCTAAACCCCTAAACCCTAAGCCCCGAAACCCTAAGCCCCGAAACCCTAGGCCCCTAAACCCTAGGCCCCTAAACCCTAGGCCCCTAAACCCTAAGCCCCTAAGCCCCTAAGCCCCTATACCCTAAGCCCTTGAACCCTAATCGCTAAGGCTCCGAAGTCCTCAGCCCTGAAAACCCCCTTTGCAGTCAGGTGGTGCAGGGCAGGCTCGCTGCTTCGTTTTGGAGGGGTTTGGGGGTAGGGCTTAGGGCTCAGGGTTCAGGGATTCGGGTTTAGGGTTTAGGGTTGTAGAAGGCACTTGAGGTGTTAGGGGCTTAGGTTTTGTGGCTGAGGGTGTTTCGGTTTTGGGGTTGGAGGTTGGAGGTTGTGGGTGCGCTTGCAGCCTCGGTTTCGCGGTTCCTATCGGCTTGGGGACTTCAATGCAAGCCATAGCGCAAATCCGAGGGTTTAGGCTTGTTGTGTGTTGCTCTAAAAGTACCTTGTTTGGAGTTCTAGACTGCTATGGCTATGGCTGCATGACTTGTGCCCTGTACTAACATGAACAGAGGCCCTCCTCAGCCTGCCGACGGTCACAACCTACAACCTGAAAACTTGAAGCTCGAATCCCGAAACCTTATATGCCCCAAGAATCCTATCCGAAGCTACCAAAAACCTCTGCTTTCGTGGTGGCCCCGTACTAAATTCTGTATTCTTAGGGGCTTATAATAAGAACCTACAAAGATGCAGTGGTTGGGAGGTTTAGGTATACCCCTAGGCACAAACACCAGAAGGATCGACGATTTCCCTGACATGACGCGGGCCGCTGCGATCGCCGAGCGGTTCCAGCTGGATGAGGCCGAATCCACAGCCTACGCGACTTTAGGGTTAGGGTTGATGATAAAAATCCTGCATTACCTTCACGACCCCAAACGATGCGAACTATGGTCTATGCCTTGTTCTGGGTAATGCAGGTTTTGCATCATCAGCCGTATCACCTAAAGCCCTTATGCAAGATTCAGTTCCCGATGATACTCGAGTACAGTTGTTTCGGGAGTCAGGCTTAGGGTTTGCCCTAATTATACCCTCATCCTCCAAACCCGAGACCCTAACGGGGGCGAGGGTTCAGGTCTTTTTGGAGGGACTAAACCCTAAACCCTAAACCCTAAACCCTAAACCCTAAACTTTAGGTTTAGGGTTTAGGGGGAAAAGAAGGGAATTAGACTCGACCTCAGGATTCTGGAGCTGTTGGTTTTAGCTTGTTTCCCAGAGACTCCAATATCCCTTAATCAAGGAATATACCTTAAATCATATTAGGGATCCTGACTATAATTTACGGAGTATTCCTTAATCAAGGGGTATTGGAGTTTCTGAGTTAGACTGCAAACCCTGCTGGGCACACTCTTCTGACTCCCCAACCCAGGAAGTAGACCCTTGTCCCAGAAGGCTACAACCCTTAAACTTTTGAGGGCTTAGGGTTTAGGGATTGGGGTTTAGGCTAAGCTTTAAAATCTGAGGGCAAGCCCCCACCCAATCGGCACCCAACCACAAAGCCTCATCCAAACCCCAACCCCCCAAGCTCTGAAACCCAGAAAGCCCAAACCCAAAATTCCAAACCCCAAAACCCCAAGCTCTTAATCAAACCCCTGTGATTATGAATCCCTAGGTGCTAAATGCGGAACCCTTACATCCAAGGTCCTTAAACCCTAGGCCCTGAACTTAAACCCCATAAAGTTAGAAACCGGGTTAAGGCCAAGTAGTGCTAGGACTAGGATTCCCAATTCTTGGAGATTGAGGTTGGGTTTCCAACTTTTGGGCTTCTACTGCAATCAAACCCTGGACAAGTGGGTAGTTGTCAAAATTAGGATCCCTTTTCGGGTACCCTAAATAATAGGTGCCGTCCTATAATAGGTTCCCAAAAGGGACCATAATTTTGACAACCACCCAAGTTTTTTCGGAGACGAGGCCTCGCTGCGGAAGCTGCGCGACATCGTGGAGAAGCGGGCTGAGGACCTCACCGCGGTGTTGGATCACCTGGAGGAGGTTGGCGGCTTAGTGTTTCGGGTCTAGAGGAAGGGCTTCCTGCGAGATTTTATAAGTTTTTGTTCGGTCTCACTAGGGTTTGGTGTGTAAGGGGGGTTTAGGGTTGAGGTTTCGAAGTTTCGGTAGCGAGGGGTGAATTTCTATCAGGGCGAAGGTGTAATATGTGGCAGCCTCAGCCAGTTGTTGGTATGATCGCGACCGGTGTGACTGCTACTGGATTGCATCTGTTTGTATAGTTTAAGCAGAAAGGTTAAAGGAGTGTTGTAGCATCATCATATCGAGAGTAAGTATTGAGGTCCGGATATTCTTTCAGGAATTCCGGAGCGCTGCGGAGCCTAGGGTGTAGGGGTGGGGTTTTGGGGGGATTGGGAGTTCGTTAGATGACTAGGTTTTAGTGGGTTTTGGGTTTAGTAAGGACACCTAGTGCGGGCTCTTGCAGGAGCTTCGCTGACTCTTGTTATCGCAGGCACGAACAGCCCAGAGATGCCTCTAGTGTGTAGAAAGGAGTAGCTGTCAAACTTAGGATGCCTGTGGGGGGTCCTTGCTCTAATGGTGCCGCTTAGGGCTTGGGGTTCAGGGTTCAGGGTTTAGGGTTTGGGGTTTAGAGTTTAGGGTTGGGGACCTTAGATCCAAAAAGGGACCCTAATTTCGAGACCAAATCGTCCCCAGCCCTGGCGTCAAACTGCGCTGCACCCGAATCCTGAAGCGAGAAGGCCTTGATTAAAACTAAGCCCTAAAACCTAAACCTTTCTGAATTAGAACAGTTTGTAGCTTCATTATTAAATGCCCACTGTTGGAACTAACATACCAGGTAACAGATCAGGACATAAGTCGCGGAACAAGTCACGTAACAATCCTGGCTGTAGCTCCGGATTCCTTCTCAGCCGTTTGGCTGTGATCAAGTGTAATTTGAGCAGAAGAACGCATCCTCTGGGTTCAAAGGACCATTCCAGGACCCCCATAGAGGAACTTTCACAGAATTATTTCTTCTAACTAGGAATGTCATATCTGATATTCACTGCAAGCTACCTGAACTTTCCCATGCGTCACGGTAGTTTATAGCCTTTTGACTTTTGATCGTGTAGCCATGGAAGATGTGCTGGGGCCAACATTGTTTCCGAAAACTTGGTGCCCAGCGCAACTTGACTTGTATAATTAAACCCTATGACCCCATACATAATCCGAAACCCCCTGTTCTGTGCTGGTCGTGGTCTTCCTGGCGCCGCTGGCTTCGCTGCGGCGCATCTTCACTTCGAGGACTGTGGTTGGGCCGGGTTAGGGTTGATGTATAGTTTAGTTTGTTTCTTTGGTTATTTAGCCGGTTGGGTTATTCGGTAATTGGGCGATTGGGTTGGTTTAGCTTGCCCTCCCCCTCCCCCTTTCGGCCCCTTGCCTGGCTAGAGTCAGCTAGAGGTGTCATAAAAGTTACACGACAGAAACTGGTTTGTGGCAGCCAAGCACTCACTTCGACGTTGCTTTGCGGCTTTGGCTCAATTTCTACGACCTGGGTCAGGCCCTTATTCCTTTTAAAGGTTGAGGTTCCCTTCCTTATAAGCCCCATCAAACCAAAAAGGCCGCCCTTTTTATTCCTAGGTTAATCTAGATTCAGACACCGAATCCGAAGTCCCAAAGCATCCGATTGCTCATCCGCCAATAATAGGGAACATTCATTCCGCATTCCTTTTAAAGCCCGCAAGCCCGCAAGCTTCTAAGCAAGCCAGTCCGTGATTGAGTGATGGCCGTTCCTGTGACATTGAGTGGTGAAGAAGCTTGTTCGGCACGGCGAGGGGTTTTGGCGGGGGGTACACTGGTGTATTGCCCCACACGTGTGCAGTCCAGCAGCCAAGCTTTCGCTGCCATTCTTGGAGATGCATCCGTAGTCACCTGGGGTGAGGCTGAATCTGGTGGCGACTGCTCTGCAGTACAAGATCAGCTGCAGCGCGTACAATACATTGCTGCCACACAGAAGGCTTTCGCTGCCATTCTTGCAGATGGATCTGTCGTGACGTGGGGTAATGACACGCATGGGGGCGACAGCTCTGCGGTACGAGATCAGCTACAGGCTGTGTCAGAGATTCAAGCCACTTGTCACGCTTTTGCCGCGCTTCGTTCTGATGGATCCGTGGTCGCGTGGGGCAATCCCAACTTTGGCGGTGACAGTGCGCTGCAGCTTCAGAATGTGCAACAGATCCAAGCCAACGATAGGGCGTTTGCTGCCATTTTGCACGACGGCACGGTTTTTACGTGGGGCCACGGCCCGAGTGGCGGCGATAGCAGCGCCGTGACTCTCGCGCTCCGTTTCGCTGCTATTGTTGCTAATGGATCCGTCGTTTCCTGGGGCAATCAGACAGACGGTGGTGACAGCAGTATGGTACAGGTGCAACTGCAAAATGTGGAGCACATTCAGGCCAGCGGCTATGCCTTTGCCGCCATCCTTGCCAACGGCTCTTGTGTTGCATGGGGTCATCCTGACAGTGGTGGTAACTGCACTGCTGTGCAAGCTCATCTTCAGACTGTGCGCCAGATTCAATCAACAGACGAAGCTTTCGCTGCAATCCTTCCGTTTTGACTTGGGGGCGGCGACAGCAGTGCTGTCCAACATGAGCTGACGGGCGTGCTGGAGATCCAAGCCACTCAGCGTGCTTTCGCTGCAATTCGTCGTGCTGGCAATTCCGTGGTTCACTGGGGCCATAAGTATTATGGAGGACCTGACGGTATTGATGACGAAGATGTTCAGCAGTTGCGGCGTGTTGTGTCGATTAGCGCGAGCCACTCAGCTTTTGCAGCCATTCTGGGCGATGGATCGGTCGTGACTTGGGGATTTTGTTGGCAAATGCCTCGCGAGGCCTCGCTTCAGCACCTGGCTTCAGTGGAGGTGATTCATGGAGGCGAGGCGGGCTTTGCTGCCATCTTGGGCGACGGCTCCGTCGTGACGTGGCCTCGCGACGAGGGTCGCTTCTCGTGAAAGGAAGCTGCAGTGTGTTTCGGGTTACTTTCACGTAGATCGATTCTGGTAGATTGACTTGACTTAGAACTTAGACTTAACTTAGATTCTTCGAAGGGTTTCTTATAGAGTCTTAGATTACTTAGATTCTTAAATCCTACAGGCTATAGGCTATAAGGCTTTTCGGGTTACCTCTTTTCCCCCCAACGCCTCTTGGAACCCAAACCCGAAAGATCCCGACAGCCTGGACCCCAACCCCAAACCCAACGCATCCCGAAACCCTCAATCCCTGACCTCTAAGCCGTTTGTTGTTTCCCGTGGTTGCCCTGGTTCGGGTTTGTGGTCCGCTTCGGTTGGGGACTTCTGGGTGTTTTGGGCTTTGGGGTCTTTGGTGTGCTTTCTGTTTTTCCTCAAAGCCTCAATAGCCCTGAACCATCGAAACCCGCGAAGTCCCCAAACCCCAAACCTCCAAAGCCGCAAAGCCCTAAACCCTCCAACCCCCCAAACTTCAAAGCCCCAAGCCCCCAAAGCCCCAAAGCTAGATGCCCCGATTCCCCACCCTTTAACAAAACCCTCTACTCGTCTTCCCGGCAGGATCCGCCTCCCGATGCTTCCGGTGCTGCGGGGCTCTTGGATTCGCTCGGGGGTCTGTTCGGACGTTGGGGGTGGTTGGGTTGCGGGCTTTTGTCGTTGCGACGGGTGGTTGGGATTTGAGGGCTTGGGGCTTTTGGCGTGAGTGTCGGCCCCGCCCCCCTCCCGTGACTGGAGTGCCTTGTTCCCGGGAACCCCGGGCCCCGGGCCCCTCGCTTTGACCTCAGGCTCCGTCCTCCTCTTCGACTTCGAATCGCGGTGCTCGCTGGTGCCTCTGGTGTTCAGGGTTTTTCGGACTTTGAGAGTTTGGGCCGGGGCTTTTGGTGTGAGTGTCCGTGCACGTACAGGAGGGCCTGCTTCTGCGGTTCTGCTTGGTCCTCTGTCGTTGCTTGCTCTGTGCGTCCCCCGCTCGATACTGAAGCGCCTCGTGCAACATGTCCCCCACAGCCCTGCTCGCTTGCCCAGGCTGAACCTTTCGTGCAGCGCGGTTCCTCAGAAAGGGTTTCGGGTTTCGGGGCTTTGTTCGGGTTGGGGTTGTTTGCGGGCTTTCGTCGTTGCGAGTGTCCGTGCACGCACAGGACAGCCCCTGCCCCTGCCCGTTCTCGCTGCGCCCAGGTCTGATCATCTTCGCAATCTTCGCATCGGCTGGGATCGCCTTTTCCTTGGCATGCTGCCTGTGCTGCCGGGTTCGGTTTAGGACTTAGGGTTTAGGGTTTAGGGGTTTCGGGCTTGGGATATTAAGTTGTTGAGGGGCTTAGGGGTGTAGACTGTAGGGGTTTTGGGGTTTTAGGGTTAATGGTTTTTGGTGGTGTAGGGGTTCAGGAAGTTCAGGGCCCGGGTTTTAGGGTTTTTGGTTTTGGGGTTTAGGGGTCGGTAAGCGGTTTAGGGTTTAGGCTTAGGGGTTTAGGGCTTGGGCCTGGGGGTTTAGGTTGTTGAGGGGCTTAGGGGTGTAGGCAGGGTTTTTAGGGGTTTATGGTTTTTGTTGTGGTTTGGGGGCCGTTTGGGGTTCATGTCATGGTTTTTTTTGGGTTTTGGTTTTGGGGTTTAGGCGGTTTAGGGTTTAGGGGTTTAGTGCTTGGGGGGGTTTAGGTTGTTTTGCATGACATGTGACACAACATACATGTGCATGGCCTTTCGGCTCTCGGTTGCCAATCCCAATACCCCATCTACCCAACCTTTAAACTTTTTGGGGTTCTTATAGTTTAGTAGGAATCGGAAAATTTAACCTTTCATTTGTGCATTTTCAGGGTTTGCTTGATTCAATCATGATGACTCCACTTACTCCCCCAATAATCCACACATTATCTAGGTGCGCAACCCTAGACCTTGCATGCTTCCGCGATATCGCTTTTTTTTCTGGCTTTTCTGCAAATCATGGATACCTCAACCTCTGTTGAGATTACACTTTTGAGTGGCAGGGCGACCACGCTTGCAGTTGAGAAAGACGAGTCGCTGGAATCACTGAAGAAGCGTGCGCAGACGGCACTTGGAG